CCGACACGGCCCGGCCCGGCCCGCTGCCTCGCTCCCCTCAGTCCGGCCTCGGCGCGCGGCGTTGGTGGCGGAGCCTCGAACCCGAGCGACCCGTGGCCGCCTGCCCGCCCGCCCGGGATGGGGCTGGGCTGAGGCAAGGACAGCGGCTGTCCAGTGCCTGCGGCCCGCGGCTGCCTCGCCAGGATCGGCGAGGAGGCTCTCAGCCGGCGAGCGGGGTATGCGGGAAGCCGGAGGGCGGATCGGGCTGCGGGACCGGAGTCCGTGGCAGGCGGGGCGGGGAGAGCCCGCGCGTCCGGGACGGGCGGAGCGGGGCAGAGTCCACGTGGGGGGCGTGGAGGCCCGGGAGGTCTCGGGTGCGGGCGCCGGGGCTCGGGCGCTGGTCCTCCGTGGAGGTCCCGGAGGTCTGCGTGGTCGCAGGTGGGGTAGCCTCGGCCCCCGATGGATTTCTGCGGTTGTGACTGTAAGAATCCGGTTCACCCAGCACCGCCTAGTAGTAAGTAAAGCGCTTCTCTGATCTCCTCATTTTACGGAGAAACGAAGTGAGGTCCAGAGGGGAAAGGCAACTTCTGACTCTGTTAGAGAGTCTGGCAGTGAGGACTAAACGAACTTAGAACCCTTTACCCTAGTTGTTTTTCTGGCCACTCTGCTTTTATGGGGACAAGGTCTTGCTGGGTAGTTCAGGGTGGCTTTGAACTATATATAGCACAGGCTGCCCCCCTACTCAGCAGTTGTGCCTCAGCCCTCCCAGAGCTGGGATCGCAAACGTGTGCCACTATGCCTGTCTTTTATGCCCTTCCTTTCTCATTCTCTCCACCACTCAGATTCTGGTGGAAATGTGACACCTGGGTTTCATAAACATTGGGTGTGGGGTTAGAGTTGAGAGGGTGGGACTGGGTTGGGAAGTTGCCAGTAACTCAGTTTGGGGCTTCTAGAGTTGGAAAGCTTCGTGACAGGTGTTCATTGTTTTTTCTTCCCTTAGGTTTGACAGAAACGTCCTAAGATCTTGGTGTCTGGATAAAGGAGGTATGAATCACTCACATAATTAAGTACTTCTGATCACCACTGTCCTGGAGCTATATTTAGTGGTTATATTAGTGCACAGTGAATGGGTATGGATGGAGTTGTAAGCCTAGAAACTGGTGTGCACTACACATGATTCTGAACCGAGCGGGTACAGCATACTTGAGTATGTAATAGCTATTTTAGATCTGTGAGGCAGAAAGTTAGTATTCAAAAAATCTCAGAAATGAAAGGCCTTTTAAGATGAACATTGTCTTCTAAATGGTCTTTTGCTGCCAGGTGTGGTGGTTCATGCCTGTAAGCCTAGTATTCAGGAGGCTGAGACAGGATAAGTGAGTTCAAAGCCAGCCTGGGCTACATTTTTTTTTTTTTTTTTTTTTTGAGACCCTGTCTCACAAAGGATTCATTGCTAAATTGGAGCTGTTTGTTTGAAGGGCCAGTATGTATATAATGCACAGTACCTCTGGCTAGAACTCAGCCTCTTTGTCAAGGTGTGTGCACTTGACATTGTTTCACTGGACTGATTTGTGTATTGGACCATATCACATGTGGTATCCTTTTTCTAGAAAGGCTTGTTACCTTCCTCAGTAGGTGACTGTTGCCAAAATGATGTGTGTGGGCATTCCTTCTTGGTTTAATAACCCCTTTTCAAGGCCTTCAGTTCTGAAAGTTGTTTGAAATAGTGAGGCTATTAATGATGATTGTTGTAAAAGATAACCTTTGCTATTGTCCTTTTTAGGGGGAGATTATTCATCATTAGATCAGGCTGGGTGGACCAGTTGAGGTTTTAAACATTGATAGAAGGGCAGTATCTGTGCCAAGGGCCTGTGCAAGAAAATCATATTGCTTAACTCAAGTTATAGTGAAGTAAAAATACTAAGCACCTCACAGAAGGGAAAGGAGCGCCTGTGCTTTATGTAGTGGACCTCTCGCTTTTCTATCCCCTGTGCTGAACTGAGCTTGCTTGTGTACCCTGATAGCTTCCCTGCCCCAACCGGGGATTGAACTCAGGCCCTTGTGCTTGCCAGGGAAGCACTTATTCTACTGAGCCATCTCCCCGGCCCAACCCTGATAGCTTTTTAACCACTGTGAATGTCGCATTTTAAAATAAGGATAAGCTTTTTTTTTTTTTTTTTTTTTTAAACCGGGGATTGAACTCAGGCCCCTGCGCTTGCCAGGGAAGCGCTTATTCCACTGAGCCATCTCCCCCGCCCCACGGATAAGCTTTATTCCTAAAATAACTGGCTACGTTTGGAGATGTGCCTGGGATGGCACAGCTGCTGGTGCAGAACCTTCTCCAGGACCAGGCCCACTCAAGTGAGTGCAGATCCTTGGGCCTCCTGTGAACTTAGTCCTTGTCTCTGTCACTCTCAGTACTCTAGGGGATGGTGAAGTCAGAACATTGTTTGGTTTTTTTTGTATCTTAGGGAAGAGTCTACAGGGTGTTCAGGGTCTCAATACTAGTTTGGACTCGTAGTGATCTGCCTGTTCAGAGTCTCCCAAGAGCTGGGGGTGGCATGTGGTGCTGGGGATTGAACTCTAGTCTCTGTGCCTGCCTAAGCAGGTGCTTAGTCCACTGTCTTACCTAAGCAGGTGCCTAGTCCCTCTCTCAAAAAGGCAAAATAACAACAAAAAACAATAGGGCATTGTATTATCCATGGTTTAGGGTACCCCTTAGGGACCTTGCACTGTTACCTTAAGTGGTTAAGGAGACCAGTCCATGGGGTATCTTGTCTGGATAAATCTGTACCCAGCGGGCAGCTTGATGGGACTTAGCTTTTGGTTTTGGAACTTCAGATTAAAATCCTATGTGTAGAGAGACGAACTTGGTAGTGGTCAAAGCTGTGTTGCTGATTAACCCATCTATCTGATAACATGCTAGAAGCAAGGAAATAATTCTTAAGATTCTTACTTGAATTCGTTTTTATATCTTCGGAGAGAAGGAAATTGGGGCATATTGTAGCTAAGATTTAGATTTTTTTTTTTATTTTAACATTTAGTGTGTGTGTGTGTGTGGCCAGCTCAGCCCACCAGGGGGCGGGGCTGGCTGGCATGTGGTGCTGGGGGATCGAACCGCAGTCTGTGTGCTTTGCCAAGCTTGTTCCAAGTAGGTGCTTTAGACCACTGAACCATCTCACCAGCCCCAATCTTCAGCTTTCTTAAGTAGCATTGCTGTCTATACCTCCGAGTTTACAGAGGTGAAGTGATTGTTCCAGGCCACACAGATAAGAGGAAACATGGAAACCTGTACCCCATATTTCATTTCCTGATCTCTTATTCATTGTGGCTGGTGGAGAGGAAGTGAGCAGCATTTGTTCTTCGGCTTTCCCAGGGTAGGTGTCCCCTTTAAGGTCTTTATGGGTCATCAGGGCAGGACACTAGAGAGCATCTGTCCCAGAGCCCATTCTTGCGGAGGGTTTGTGGCCCACAGGTCCTCACTGAGCCTGTGGAGGGCTGGAGCTTTGCTGACAGTGCATTCTCATTAATAAGCTTACACCACACTGTCCTAGCGAGTTGCCAGTATGTGGCTTGTGGATATGAACTTGGGATGGCTTGGACACACCTGGGCCTTTGACAGGATTAGAGTGTTGCCAGGGGCTGTGAGGGAGGGATCAAGAGCAGAGGCAGTAAAATCTATGGATATTCTTTTGCATGGCCACTTCTATGGGGACCCACAGGTTCCTTGTGCCCCAGGAATAGGATCCAGGCTCTGCTGGAGAAAGAGGGGACAGGCCTGGGGTGGAGCTTGGTGCTGGAGAGCTCACCTAGCTTGAGTGAGGTTCTGGGTTCAAGGCTACCGAGAAAATTAGATCTAAGAGAAAAAGGGGTTGTGCTCAGGGTAGATTCCAGAACTGTCATCCTAGGCCTTTTTTTTTTTTTTTTTTTTTTTACCAGGGATAGAACTCAGGCCCTTGCACTTGCCAGGCAAGCGCTTTTTCTACTGAGCCATTTCCCCGGCCCCCATCCTAGGCCTTTTGCTTCACTAAAGAAGAGCCTCCTGCCTGCCCTGCTGTGAGCCCTAAATACTCATTAGATTAGACATGTTCCTTGTGTTCACTGTGGATCTGCAAGTCTACATTTCTTTTTTGAGTTTTTTTGAGTTAAGGTCTCACTATGTAGTGAGACTGTTGAACTCACCGTGTAGGCCCAGCTGGCCTTGAACTTGCAATGATTCTCCTTTCTCAGCCTCTGAGTGCTGGGTTTACTGGCATGCGTCACCCATGCGTGACTTAAGGATCTTATGTGTTACTTATGTTAAAGTACTGATTTGTGGCTTGGGATATTTCTTGGCTCTGGGTTTCATGTCCAGCAGGGTGCAAAATGTACCTATTACTGAAATGTTTCTGTATCCTTTTTTTCCCCCTAATTTTTTTCAAACAGTCTCACTGTGTAGCCTAGGCTGGCCTCAAAATCAGGTGATTGGGGGCCTGGCCCTAGCTCAGTTCTTTAAGTGGCTGCTTCCATCAAAATCAGGTGATCCTCCTGCCTCAACCTCCTGAGTACTGGGGTTAAAGATGTGTGCCATCATGCTTGGCTTTGTTTCTTTTTTAAAATGTTGAAAGTTACTTTTTCTCATTAATTATTTTCATTTCCACATTTTAAAAAAGACTGAATCAAAAAAAAAAAAAAAAT